AAACTATAAAGTAATATATTCTTTCTTCATTCTCGATAATCTTTATTTTGATTATTATGGGTTTTGAAATTTTGAACTCTTTCTAGTATAGAGTCTTGGACCATGACTTCTGAAATTTAATCTGAATTCTCCTTTGGCTTGGCCTTATTGAAATTAATATGCCTAGCTAATTTAAATTTAATTTAATTAGTTAAGTTAAAGAGTGAATACTCACTGCAGGTTTGTTGCAATCTCCAATTTTTTCCTGCACGAAAATAAAAAAATTAAAGATTTTATGTTTACTATAGTTTGTTCGTTATGGTTAAGCAGAAATGAAATTGTTTTTCACATAAGAAGTTAAATGAGGATAGATTATTTGAACTAGCTCAAGTACGCTTATTTCATTGAGTTAGAAATCTGTTGAATTTTAAAAAATTTTCTTTCATGGAATGGATTTTTAATTCAATGAGATGCTTGACAAACAGGAAATAGAGACTTGATGAGAGTATTTGGTTTCTGGGTCTGTTTTTTGGACTGTTGGATGATTTTGTTTTGATCACAATGTCTACATGTAATTTCATGTACTAATATTTATGGGTTTAAGTACTCTTTATACTCACAATAAAATTCAATGTGATTCGAAAGTGAATTACTATTAAATTATTTAGATCGTTGACTAAATATATATGAAGATTAAATGAGAAAAAGTATATTACGTACATGGGTAGATTTCTGCCACCATACCGCACCGTTTCCGTTGATTGTGGCAGTACCAGAGATAATAAGGTTATCAACATGATCAAAGCATAACCAGCAGCCGGATTTACAATCTGTCCAATCTGTGCTTATTGGTGCAATTATATTTCCCATCATCTATGTATATAAATTAAAAAGTTAATTATATGCGTAAGTTCACATATATCAATTAATTAATTAATTATTATTTGAGACTATAAATATATGCGAAGTTGAACATTGGCATACTTGGATTTGAACGGTTGCTGATTTGCAAGGTCCAGAAAATTTGACTTGTTTCAACAAGAAAGTCTTGCCTGCCGGGACTTGCAGAGTCGGTATGGTGGCTCCACTTGTAGTAGTGGCCTCACAAACACTTCTCCACGCATCCAAGAAAGCCTTGAATACATATAATACAAAAGATATACAGTTAATTAATTAGTAAAAATTTTAACACACCCATATACATATATATACCTTTGAGTCATCAGTTCGAGCATCTCCAACAGCTCCAAAATCCAGGACGTCGAAGAGTTTGCCTTTAGCTTGGGGGCTAAAGGTGCCAAGAAGGAAGACGAGAGTAATGAAGAATCGAATCTGTACGGATAAACACATACAACAACAAAAATCAATCAAGACCGTCAAAGTACAGCCCCGCCACTACAAGAAATGACATTTTTAGTGACAAAAATTTACTATAAGTGTTGAAATTAATATTATAACTCATTATATTTGTGATACATTTTAAAAATTAATTACAAATTCATGTATGTTTAATAATGATAAAAGAAATTCATCACTAAAAAAATATTTCATCACTAAAAAAATATTTCATCACTAAAAAATGTCACAAATAAAAAATAAGTTTGTAATAATAAAAATCATCATTATAACTCATCCTAATTAAGATAAATTTTATATATTGATCACATATATCTATACATTAAGTGGTGATCAAATAATTTATCACTAAAAATATATCTTGTCACTAAATATTATCACAAAAAGAATACATATTTGTGAAGATTGAAATCATCACTACAACTTATCATAATTTTGATATATTTTAACTTTTGGTAACAAATGTTGATATGTTCAATGATAACGAAAAAAAATTATTATTAAAGAGATATTTGTCAATGAGAAATAATCATAGATAAAATATAAACTTTTGATAATAAAATTCATCATTAAAACTCATCACAAATCTATAATGTTATCTAAATAAATTTGAAACAAATAATACATTTTAAATAATATACTTAATAACTTGCATACATGATAAATATTGACATTTTTTGGGCAAAAATATGAAAAGGGAGGGAAAAAGTTAGGTATGACAATAGGAAAATTGAAATTTTTTTAAAAAAGGATTTAAATGCAAATAACTTAAGTTAAAATATTTTAAAAGTTTAAAAACCATATGACAATAATAAAAGTTATAATCCAATGCTATGAAAGAATAAATTAAAAATTTTAGGATCAAAGTGTTCATAAAGAAAAAATTAAGCACCTGCTCTAATATTTACCATTATTGAAATTGCTAAAGGAATCAAAACCCGACACGGATTGTATGTCGACACTACCTTTACACGTATCGACACTATGCATTTAGAATTTGTCACTTTGCAGAATTTAAAGCAGAAGCGTCCCACCTGCATTATGGTGGAGAAGTGAAATAATTATTAGTCAATAACAGCCAATAAGGTTTTGTATATAATAAATTATTAGGGATTCTTTGCTTAATCAATAAGGTTTTGTATATAATAAATTATGTCGTGTAAGTTTGTTGGATTCTATAGTGAGATGAATATTGGGTCCTGGATATACAAATTTTCACTTTTATATAGTAAAAAAATATTTTATAATTTAAAGT